TAGTGACCACTGTAGCAACTACATATTTCAGCTTTCTAGATAATCTGCCAAGGCTCAGTGAAGCAGGTTACATACCAACAGAGCAGGATTTATTACGCACCCGAATTAAAACTACCGGCATCACCGAAGTTCTTTTTGACCTCAAAGGTCTTACGTTCAGGTTAGTCTCAGCTATTTGTATCATTTTTACGTTGTTAGATTCATTTATCTATTTATTTTTTCATTTTTTTAAATCGTTTTTCAATTCTTTATTTAATTTTTGTTGTCTTTTTTGGGGGGCTACAAAAAAGCGTAAATAATTCAGAGTGATTGATGTTGGTGGACAGAGATCGGAGCGTAAGAAGTGGATTCACTGTTTTGATAATGTTAATGCTATAATTTTCATTTCTTCATTATCCGAATATGACCAAACTTTACGCGAGGATAATTGTACGGTAATTACAAGTTTACAAATTTTTGTGCTTTTGAGATAAGCAAATTTTATGTTTTGGTTAAGCAGCAAAGTAAGTAAGATTAATTTAAATTTTTGTTTAGCATAAGACTAAAATAAGGTTATACTTGTTTATATTATACATGTATTTTCAGGTAGGTTATAGCTGTGAATGAAACAAGAAAAAAAATGGAAGATTTTAATTACTCTTTATTACAGAATCGAATGCAAGAATCGTTGAAGCTTTTTGATTCAATATGTAACAGTCCATGGTTTGCCATAATACATTTCATTTTGTTCCTTAACAAAAAAGATCTCTTTGCTGAAAAAATTAAGCGCTCTCCATTGAATGTTTGTTTTCCCGAATATAAAGGTTAGTTTTTTCTTTTTTTATATCCACAATACTCTTATAGCTACTTTTTCTTCATTATTTTTTTTTGCATAAATAGATCAACAAAAAAAAAAACTCTTGAATACAAATAATGAAGGTTAAATTGGTTGGATAAACTCGACTGCTCAGAAATGATTATCTTATACGCTGTTTTTTGTATCAGTTGGAATATTTTTGTTTTTTTTTTTTTTTTTTGCTTATTTCTATGCATCTCATTCATCAGCACTGACTGATCAGCACTATAAATCGTCTTGGAAGTTATTTGTAGAGATTAAAATTTTTAAGCATAAAACAAGCTTTGTTACTGTCGTTGTTGCTGCCATATTGGTTATTCAGCTAAAAGTGGTCATTAATTGCAGGTCAGCAGAACCAAACTGAGTGTATAAATTATATTCAATGGAAATTTGAGCAACTAAATAGGTAAGAAAAAATTTTTTTTAGTTATATGTTGTTCAACTTTTTCCAATCACTTCCATTGGTCAGTAGTTTCGTCCTCTGATTGACAGTGTATAGAACAAAATTTCAGAGTTTATTTGAAAATATATCAATGCTTTAGAAGGCAAATAATGCTTTTTCTCGATTTGATCAATGTTTTTTTTTTCTTTGTTTTTGCTTCTTTTTTTTTTTTTTTATTTTTTTGGACGTATTGATAGAAGTGGTAAATCGGTTGATTGAAACTCTATTGGTACTGCAGCACAATGAATAAACGAATGAACAGATGCCATTTCAATTTGCATGAAAAATTCCATTAAAAAAAAATTTCTCTTTTTTTTTTTTTTTTTTTTCGTTTTGTTTTCAATGATTTTTTGTTGTATATTTCTCATCTGTGCAACGAAGCATAAAAGTAAGCTAAACATAAAGAAAAAAAAAAAAAAAACAAAAAAAACAAATTTTTTTCCCTT